TAAAACTGCAGGAAGAAACATCAACAATCTGCACTATGCTGATGACACTACTCTGGTAGCCGAACATGCAAAGGATCTGCTAGGTCTACTATTAAAAGTCAAGGAGCATAGAGAAAAAATAGGACTAAAATTAAATATAAAGAAGAGCAAACTAATGACAACAGGCACACCAACCAGCTTAGAATTTACAATGAAGTTATCAAAGTGGTAGGTAGCTTCTGTCTTTTAGGATCAATCATTAACAGTAAAGGAACAAGCAGTCAAGAAATATGTCCCAGACTAGCACTTGGTAGAGCAACCATGAAGGCCTTGGAAAAGATATTCAAATGTTGTGATGTGTCTATAATTACAAAGATCAAAATAGTGCAAGCAATGGTATTCCCTGTGACACTCAATGGAAGTGAAAGTTGGACTTTGAAGAAGCAGAATAGGACTATTGACACTTTTGAACTTTGGTGTTGGAGAAGACTCCTGAGAATACCATAGACAGCCAAGAAAACAAACAAATGTATTTTCAAAGAAATCAACCCAGAGTTCTCACTCAAGGCAGAAATGATTAGGCTCAAATTACCCTACTTTGGACACATTTTGCGAAGACCTAGCTCTCTGGAAAAGGCTCTAATGCTGGGAAAGGTGAAAAGAAAAAGAAGAGGATGACCAGCAGCAAGCTGGATAGACTCAGTTACAGTGGTGATCAGTGCACTGTTGGAAGACATGAAAGACCAGCTTATGGACAAATCATTATGGAGAAAACCTATGAAGTCACTAAAAGTTGACACCAACTTGATGGTACATAAATAATCAATGGGACAGGAAGATCCTTTGTTGAACTGACTCAGGCAATAAAATATCATGGCTGTCCCTAATCAGTCTTAACACATCCATTTTCTATGCCAAATGATAGGAGGAAAATAAATTATAATCTATAAATTCATAACCTTAATAGTAACCAACTATATATTTTTATTTTTTTAATTTAATTTTATTTTTTGTGCCTCTGAGTCAGTCTTGACTCCTGGCTGTTGCCTGGACTATATCCTGCGGTTTTCTTGATAAGATTTCAGAAGTGGTGTGCCATTGCCTGCTTCCTAGGGCTGAGAAAGAGGGACTGGCCCAAGGTCACCGAGCTGGCTTTGTGCCTAAGGTAGGACTAGAACTCATGGATTTCCAGTTTCTAGCCTGATATCTTAAGCACTACACCAACTGGCTCTCAAACAGCATAGGGCTTGATTTTTGTGTGAAGTAGTATAACAGGTTTCCTATTATGCCTACATAATATTTCATCTTGGCTAGTTTGTCTCTTTCTTGCTGGCTTTTTCTTCATGGCAGTTTAGTTACAGCTGATCTGCATCTACCACTTGCTTTTTTATTGGCTCAAACACAATATAAGATTTAAAAACAACAAAAGAACACATCGAAGTCAAACATTCACAGATAGGCTTATGAAGTGGGTTTCTAGCAAAATCTGATGCCAAAATTCTTCACAAATGATGCAGAAACCTAACTATAATCCAATATATGTATTAGACCCCTTATATAAACCTAGCTTGAAATATAATTATGCATGAAGACTATCCTAGGGACAGATAACACTAAAGGGTTTGTGCCTTGAAAAGCTCTTGTCTAACAATGAGGGATGTGCATTTAAATGGTTTTTGGAGAAAAAAATTCTTAAAGTTAGGGACAATATGTAAAGATAGGTAATTTGCCCCTATGTTGTCCAGAGAAGAATGTATATCCAAATTGAGCTGAAAACAGCTCTTCTGAGCCTAATACATTTAGATATTTAATGTCATAAAGGCATAGCAAAAGGGTTTATTTCCCTCTTTTCTTCTCTAGGCTAAATAATTCAAATGGAAAGAGCCCCTTTCCATAATTTTATTATTTCCAGTTGACAACCATGAAATATGGAAAGAGTCCACAGTAACAATGAGAGGTAAGAAGGATCCTGTATTATATAGCCCAGTGTAACTGATCTAGAAAAAAAAAATGAGTGCCCTGGCTTTACATACTGCTGGAAAATAACCAATTTCTAAATACAGAACAGACTATGATGCATATTAAGGAACACCCATAACAGCTTAAAAATATTGTATTATTTCCAGCTCATCTCTGATGTCTTGCATCTATAGGGAAGCCCCGTAAAGAAGAGATAAGATCTTCAAATGAAAAACCTGAAGTGCCATGGGAACACACCCCCTTAAGAGTAGTGAAATTGTAGGAGAGCACTTAAAGTATTTCTGGCTAACAGCAGTACTGATGTGTAGGTATCAAATTACACTAAAAATGAATACCTAGATATTTGTATTTATATATCTGCTAAATATATGACTGATCCACTGTCCAGTTCCATGATTTTGCAGAGATGAGAAAATCCTAGAGTCTTAGTTTTTGAATAGTTTATAATTATTGTTATGAGGAGGCCACCAACAATCACTGGAAACCTAGCTGGGCCTGGGATAGCAGAAGAGAGTCATGGCATAAAGAGACATAAAAGAGGCACATGTAGTCAGCCAGCTTAGGGGTATGGAAGTCTTCAGATTCCAATGAGGCTGCCAAGTCATTCATTTAAAGATTGAACAGGGTTGGAGCCAAGGCATCCCTGTCTCACTCCATGTGTAGAAGGGACTGAATTACTTGAAGTACAGTTGGGACTATACCTAATCTGTAGAAGGATTTAAGAGTATAATTGCACTATGAGACAATGCAACTTTATGCTAACTGAGGGTTTCCTCAGCTTTTCCCATTGTATAGTCCTAGAAAGCAAATTGTAAACTGTTTTTAAGCCAATAAAAGCCACAAAAAGATTATGTTTTAGTCCCTATTATTCCCTATTCCCTATTAGGAATATTTTTCAGTGAGATGCAAGGTCATAGTACAGAGCAACCTGCTATGAACCCAGCCTGCTTGATCCCCAAGTTTTTAGAATCTGTCAGCCACATCTCTAACTTATGAGATGCATAACATAAAGTTTGCTGACCACTAATAACTAACTAATGGAGTGATAGTTTGAGGGATCCTTTCTTAAGTATGGGTATGCAATAGATTTTTCCCATAGCTCTGGGATTTCCCTTGTAATGTGGTGAAAAAGACTACCAAGGATTGGAGCCCATCATTTGAGTTGATTTTAATTAATTCTAGAGGTATAGGAACTGGTCTAGGGGCTTTCCCATTTTCAAGTGCTATCAGAACCTCCATTATGGAGATGGGAAGTCACAGTCAAAGCAGACTCCATGGAATGATTTTCATTATAAATTGCAGAAAAATAGTTCTCCCAAATTCTGGCAGAGATTTTACATATGGGATTTTTGGAGTACCTTTCCTGCAGGTTTGGCTGTATTTACTTCTGCAGGCATTTCCAAGCCTTTTCCAAACACATTTATCTTACTTCTTGCTGTGTTAGGCATTTCTTTGGTAATAAATGTCTGGGAGAATCTCTCATTGCCTCCTCTATAGTTTTTGTAAATACTAAAAAGCCAATATCTCAATTAAACCATTGTTTTCATTTTATGAGCTGCTGGATTATAGGTGGCACCATAGGCTTGGAGTGAAGTACAGATGAGTTAAAGTTTTGAAAAATCCAGGATATTAGGATATTTTGATGAATAATCTAAGGAACTCCTTAGCAACTTTGTGTAAAGAAAAATGCTACTATTGCTCTGTTTAAATTATGTTTAAAGGTCAATATTCAACCTTTACAATACCCTTGCACCAAATTGCCAATGAGGTTAAAGAATAAATAAGATGGAAGAAACTAGCTTTGGAATCCAATTGAGCTAGATGACTGGCTTTGGATAGTTCAGAAAAAACTAGCGTATTTATATCAAGTTGTAAATATCAAATAAAATTATTCACCTTCTTTATTGGGCCAAAAGCACAATAATTGGCCAGAGACACATCAAGGCTCTGTAATGAGTCCTTATGTCTTATCATTCCAAGACAGGTCTCTTGAGCTGGTGTGACTTGGCCATGTACTGTATATCTCTGTCTCTATCTCTTGAATCAGTCTTGGGTCACTGCACTGAATCTTGATTTTTGTAGTTAGCATAGTATATGTTTTTAAGGGGTATATCTGAGCCATAGACCAGGACACATCACACTGAAGCACAAATTGGTTTACTGACTCTGCTGGAAGCAGACAGGCCTAAAGAAGGGAAGGGTTTGGTCTCACTGGCCAAATTATTCTTGCTTTATTATAGGCTGGTGTATAAAGGCAAAATGGTCCTCTAATGCTCTCTATTCCACCACAACAGGTACTTGAGACATGCCACAAGGAGAGAAGTCTATAATCTTTAGCTGGCAAAGACTACAGTTATTGTCCTTGCAGGAAACATTTCTTTCTTTGGTATCTTCAAGGGATGGTACCAAACCCAAACTCTTGTAGTTTCCTATTGAATCTTGAGGCAGAGATGTGAGAAGTGCAAAGAAAGAAAGCAGAAGCAGAAAAGCAGTAAAAGGTCTGTGCTTGAATAAAGATCTTCCTTTCCAGGACATTCTCTGTTGGAATGAGAGAGTCCTTGTTTATCTTAAAAGATATAATTAGAAGAATACTTGTTTGCCAGCTTATTGTCTCTTCTTCCCTCCTTATTAATTGGTTGGGTGCCTTGCATAACAATACCAGTTTTAGAAACGTCTCTGTAGATTAGCTTTTAGCAACTTCTCCAGGCCATGGTAAAGCAGGCTTAGGCTATGACCTCCCCGTGCTTCATTAAAATGACTGGGAAAAGTCCACAGCCAAGATAGCAGCACTGAGACTGTAATTGCTGTTTCTATAAAATTAGCAGGGAAGGACTGCAGCTTAAAATACACTTGACCCATCAGTAAAAAAATAAAAATAAGAAAAGCTATTTTTATCTGGTTGATAAAAACACAGCCTCTTACCAGAACACATTTCTTCACAGTGCACTTTTGAAAAACAAAGTCACATGACTATTTGAACCATTGTAGGGTATCTTTTTGCCACTGATGTTTTATTTAGCTACTGTAGTTATTCTGTTTCCAATTACTTTTATGTAGCTCAAACTTGTTCATGTTTGTTTGGTGCTACTACAGGAAAACATCAGAAGAACAGGACATGTAAAAAGAAAATTTGCACAAGCAAAACATAGGTAAGCACAAAATTCAATATCAAAGCTCAAAAAAATCAGAGCTGAATATAATATAACATACTTGCTTCTTCTATGCTCTTTGCTCTGTGGGAATGGTCCTAATGATTTGCTGGAGAATACTTTGATAATTATATATTTTAATGGAACAAATATATTTTCATGTTATTTGTAATATATGGTACATTGAATGATTGGTGAAAAGGGAGCATATAAATAATTATAGCAAAAAATAGTAATGTTTTACCAAACCATATGACAATTATTGAACAAACTGAATTGCAAAGTGGTGCATCAGTAAAGGTTTCTTCATCTCCTCTAAAAATTAAGTTCTGACTGATCCTTTTAGAGGTATAGACACACAGTTAGAATATCATCATTAAAATTTGAACAAATAAAGAGCAGAAGATTATTTCTTAGGATGTTCAAGCCTTTTAATCTACTTCAACTAATACTAAAGTATAATTTAGCCATTGTTGCTATTATAGTCCTTCAAGTCACTCATGACTACTGGTGAGTACATGGACAAGTCCATGCAGTTTTCATGGCAACATTTTCAGAAGTAGTTTGCCAGGACCTTCTCCTGGAATAATTGCCAACTTCCCAGTCTAGGACTAAGAGAGTGTGACTGGCCCAAAGTCACTCAGCTGGCTTCCAGAACTAAGGCAGGGCTAGAACTTGAGTCTCCTTGCTCCTAGTCCTCAATTTAGCTCTAAAGAGGTTCTACAATTTTTTACTTAAAAAAAAAAAAATCAACAAACCACATTAAAAACTCATTTTAGAAACATGCCTGTTTCCTAAATTAGTGTATGTTTCTCTAATTTCTTATTTTAGACTTTGTCTTGGTTCCATGATCAAGAATTTCTTAGTCATTTTAACCTAGAATTTTCCTCTTTCCAGGATCTCTAGCATTTTTAAATCTGGATTTCCTATCATTAAATTTATTTCATAATGTTTAGTTTGTTCCTTTTTTCCACCCTTTCAGAAACTTTATCTGTGTTTTTCTGATCTGTAATCTCTTGAGAAAATCTGTAATCTCTTGAAAATCTGTAATCTCTTGAGAGCCAGTGTGGTCTAGCGGTTAAGGCACCAGGCTAGAAAGCAGGAGACAGTGAATTCTAGTCCCACCTTAGGCAGGAAAGTCAGCTGGGTGACTTTGAGCCAGTCATTCTCTCTCAGCCCAACTCATCTAACAGGGTTGTTGTGGGGAAAATAGGAGGAGGGAGTATTAGGTATGCTCGCCACTTTGGGTTATTTGTAAAAATAATAAAGGCAGGATAAAAAATCTAAAAAAAAAAATCCATCATCCAAAGTGATGCTTTGCAGCTGTTCTGCAATGACAATCACAAGCTACAGAATTAATGAGAGAGGGCTAGTTCCCACATTCTACTAATCACCAGGTTTTTAAAACCATATTTTTATTGAATAAGACACAATGGCTGGGTTCTTACATAGTGCTCAGCCATAAACCATTGTTTACAAACCACTATAGTGGAGACATTGGTAAGAAAACTGGGCAAATGTCCTTGCCAGCTATCAACCTACTTGCAATTGATATGAAATGGCAGTGAACATAATTTAACATATTTTAGAGTGCATAGTATTGACCCTAGAGACCCAGTTTGGTGTAGTGGCTAAAGGCATCAAGCTGGAAACTGGGAAACTATGAGTTCCAGTCCTGAACTCTTCTAGTCATGAAGCCAGCTGGCGACTTTATGCCCGTCACCTTCTCTCTGCCCTAGGAAGAAGGCAATGGCAAAGCACATCTGGAAAATATTGCCAAGACCCTAGAAGCAATTTACAGAGAATTATCATTACGGCTACGTAGCAAACCAATCTCCCTGAACTCTGTATTCTGTTAGGCATCTTTTTCTTGATATTTTCCCTCTTCAGTCTTTCTTAGTTAATGACTGATATGCTGAACTGCCTTATCCACTGTCATCCTCTGTCTAAATAGCTGTTTAAGGTTAGGTTGACCCTATGATTATGCAGAGAGAAACAGCTGCCTCATGCAGTAAATGTTGGGTATTGTGTAAGGCAGCAAACTGTTATTATATTTTTACTGCCAGCGATGAAGAGAGATGTTTGGGGGTTTTCTGCCATATATTCCAAAATTACTTGATGACTTGAACAACATTCTCCTGATTTTAGAATGAATGGGTGGCACCATTTGCTTTACTGCCTCAAATAGCAGAAATGCCTTTGGCAGTTCTGTAGCTGTTTCTTTGCAAAGAGTTAGGAAGCCCATTTAGAGCAAAAGAGCAAATTATACAAGTCAGTCCACATCTCAGCTAAGGATTATTTCATCAAAATATCACCCTGGCAGAATGTTTCTGTTCAGCTGAATACATAATTAGGTGGCAACCAGACAGCCAAATGACAGGCATGGGGTTATTGAATTCACCTAGCACAAAATCAGCTTTGTCAAACAGCTTTGATCATTTTTGTGTAGTACAACTAGAAATTTAAAAATAATATTATTCAAATCAGTATTTAAATAGGAAAAATTCCACTTGTAGAACTGCCAGATACTGTCTTCAGCTATGAAACAAGAAATAAGAAACCCTTTCTCAACAATACAGTACAGTTTTAGATAACCTATCTAACA